CATTCGTCAGTATTTTTCCAGAGAATCGTCGGTCGACCGGTATGGTCGACCGAGATCTCAAATCGGTCGACCGACAGAATTTCCGGTCGACCGACGATGGCTTTTACTGTTTCCAACGGCTAGTTTTTGTACCGTTGGCTGGGTCTTTTGGTCTTTTGTTTTGGGTGTTTTTGGCTGAGCTTTGAGTGGGTATATATACCCCATTGCTGATGTCTTTTCAAAGTAGTTAAGAGAGTTTTTTAATCAAGTTTAATAAAGTTTTTAACAAGGGTTTTAGTTTGGTTTAAGTGTGTTTAAAAAGCTTTTAAGCAAATTGAGAGTTTGTTTTTGTGATTCAATTCTACAAGAGCTTGAGGAGATCATCTATTGGTGTTTGGGCATTCAACTATTCTCCCTCCAACTCTTGATATATTGAGAAGTTTTCTAAACTCTATTTCTAGCTTTTTTATATATTTGATTATCATTGTTATTAAGCTAGAACTACATTGAGTTTAGTTTTGATTTATATCTCTTTGTTCACACACAACCTTTTGAGCTTATTGTATTTACATTCATAGTATAATTTGGGGTTGTGGGTTTGTGACTAAGAGTTGTGCTTAATTGAGTTCTCACCTTGTTTTGAGAACAATCATTTGTCATATTTGTGCTTATTGTGAGAATCACTTTGTAATACACTTGTACACCGAGTGAGGAGTGTGTGGTGAGAGTCGGGGATCGTCCCAAGAGGAGTGGCGTCGGTTGACGTGCCTAGGGAGAGGTTGTAACCGAGCACTTGAGGGAGACACGGCTAGGTCCAACACTTAGTGGGTGTAGAGTGTGATTGCATAGTGTTTGTTGTGTGAGAGTTTTCGGTGAACTTGTAAACCGAGTGTGTAGAAGAAGTTCCGGCTTCCAAACCAGATTGTGTTAGTGGATTTCTCCCCGGGAGTGGGGAGCGGAGACGTAGGACGGAAGGTCCGAACTCCGTGATCATATTGCTTGTTTGAGTGTGCTTTGGCGTTCATTCATATTTATGTTCATATCTTATATCGCCATTGTGCATTGCTCATTTCTATATCATCCACTATCTTGTTTAGATTGTTTACCCCTTGTATTAGTTTATATATCCTTGCATATATATATTCATCATATAGGATATATCTCTTTGTATATATTGCTTATTCTTGCTTATAACTCTTGTATATCTATATTGTAAGAATACAACTTGTTAATTAATTTTAATTGGCATTTAAATTGGGATTAGATTAGCATAAGACCCTAATCATCATAGTCTTCATCATCGTCTCGGTCTGCATCCTCATCTTCATGATCCACTATGTTGACAGTACCTCTTTTAGGGCACTGATTGGAACGATGACCAGGCTGTCCGCATCTATAACACTTGATCAGGTCAGGTTTGGCATAAGGGTTCGCTGGAGTAGGCTTCTTCGCTGCGGTTGTCGCTGGCCCCTTGCCCTTCTCTGTCATCGAATCTTGATCAGGAACAGTTTGAGACTGTTTATTCCCACCACGATTAAAGTTTGTGCGCGAACCGTCGGAAGCTGCCCACGATCCTTTACTATTTTATCCAAGCTGTCGCTCCACCTTCTCGGCTAGGCTAACCGTGTCTGCCAATGTATAGGTCTGCTGCAAAGATACACGATCCTGAATCGCTATCCTTAATCCCCCAATGTATCGAGACATCTGCTACGCCTCGCTCTCGTGTAAATTTTTGTGGGATGACAGTCGATAGAACTCCTGCGTATACTCATCCACAGTTCTTCCACCTTGCCTACAATTCTGATACTGCCCAAATAAAACTTGTTCATAATCACTTGGCAAGAAACGGGCTCTCAGTAGCTTCTTCATCTTTTCTCACCTATCGACCTTCGGCTTTCCTTGACGAGATCGATTCAGACAAACAGACTCCCACCAAGCCGAAGCTCAATTTTACCTTACGTTCTTCTGGGATCTCCATATACTCGAAGAACCTCTCTACTTCTGCAATCCAGTCGAGAAACTCTTCAATATGATGTTGCCCGTTGAAAGATGGCAGATCCATCTTCATCTTGAAACCTCCAGCGTCATAATTATCCCTTTGTCGTCGGTCTCTGCGATAAACATCGCGACGTGGGGGTGCATAGTGATCTTCCTCGCTGTCGGAATCTTCATACGGAGTCGGTTCACGTCGTTGGCGATGATCTTCCTCGCTGTCGGAATCTTCATACGGAGTCGGTTCACGTCGTTGGCGACCATCAACGCGATTTTGATCTCCTGCCATCTCCAGACGCTCTATTGCCGCTGCTATTCGCTCCACGACAGTCTTCATCTGATTGACATCGGCCTTTAGCACGTCGAACTCAATTCGAGAGATAGGTGCTTCATCACCTGCCATTGGATCGGAGGAACAAGGCTCTGATACCAATTGACGCAGCGCGGAAGTGATAACCTCGGAATCCACCAAGGATGTTCTCTGAATCCACAAAGAACAATCTTCGAATCCACGAAGAAATATTGAGGAAAAACGAAATTTTATTAATCAAAAGTTATGCCTCTAGGGCTTACAAGAATCTTCTTAAATAGAAAAAGAAACAAGACTCCTACAAACAAGGACTCTAATTCCTACAATGACTCTCAACTTACCAAAAATGGTAAAGAATTCCTAAAACATTAAAACTCTTAAAAACACTCCTTATGATTAGGAAAATCCTCAGGTCAAATCTGAGATCAAATCGGATTTGTTTCCTAAACAAAACAGACTCCTAAAATATTACTAAAAATAATAAAAACAAACAAAAATGCAAATATCTCTCAAGTTTGGATGGCTCCGTCTCGTCGAGATAGTCGATTTTCATATATAATTCGTCCAATTCCGACGTACGGTTTGAAAGTTACGGCCGTTTCTTCGAAACAAGTTATTTTCTTCGACCAGGTCCGTATTTGGGCTTGCGACTGTCCCACTTTGACATAAACGTGTATGCTAAGTGTTCTACATCAGTTCGTAATATAGTGATGAAATTTCACCTGTCATGGATATTTCAAGAACAGAAGTTTAACTTCTGAACGAGATATTGTGGAAAACTGCTCACTATTTATTACACACAAATTTTAGGACTGATAAACATTTCTCATCAAATGGAAAATGAACAAAAATTGTGGAGTTTCACCAGAGGATTAACTCCAGAGGATTTTGGATATGGCTACAACTGACAGATTCGACGGACGAGACACCTGAAATTGTAAAATGCCACTTACATTTCAAATCCTTCTGACTCGAGAAGGCTCACAGTTGTATATAGGTGAATTGTTAACGTAGGAGATGGATGCCATTAAGAAGTTACCAATGGGCATGCACAAACTGAAGATAAAATAGAGCCATAATGAAAAACAGAGGTAACAAATGTAAGGGTTTTACCAGCAGTTAGGGGATGTAAACATGCTACAAACTTTGGCGTGAATTGGGAAACAAAAGAAACATGGATGAAGTGTAGGTGCAGGAAGAGGAAGAGAAGCTGCTGCAACAAAGAAACAGAGCACCGAAAACTCTGTTGAGAAGGAATAATGAAATGAGAATTCAAGCGCATGTTCAAAGGGGAAACATGAGGATGCCCCTCGGCAATCATACCATAATTCTAAAATAACCAAGTTTCTTTGATCAGATTCGTTTCGTTCTGAGCAAAAGCAATACGGACCGAGTACTTTCAAATTTACCAACAATGAAATTTCTTTAAGAATCAAGGACGACAACCCAACGTCATACTAGCTAAACAAGCTCCACACGCACCCAAAAACAACAAGAACACGCACAGACGCCAGCTTATTTCACTTTGCATTTGAAAATGGAAGGAAAGATTTCATCAACAAACAGATCTCTAAGGGGGGACAACCTTGAAAGCCTTAGCCTTATCAATCCAAGATACGAACGAAGTCACCGAATTTCGAAATCCCAGGAACCCATGCTCCTTGCTCTTATTCATGCTACCCAGATGCGACTCCTCCACGTTAAGCACAGCATCAACGAAACCCCAACTCCCAACCTCCTCGAGCTTCGTCGGCAAGAGCTCGTTCTCCCTCACGATCTCATCCCAAACCTCCTCCTTCCCCTTCATCAGATCCGCGAGCTTCACCCTATCGCCCTCCCCTTCGAACTCGACGAATTCGACCCCGAACTGCCCGGCCAAGACCCTCCACATGTGCCTCCACTTAAAGACGTCCCCGTTGCTGCAATTGAAAGCTTCGTTCTTCGCGTAGGGATCCACCGCCGCCCAGATTTGCCCGACCAATCCGCATCGGAGAACGGAGAACCCCTCCACCTGAACTCTTTTTCCCGGCACTTCATAGCAGCACCTAAACGCACAGGCTCCCGATCAGATTCATCGAACCCCTCGTCGAGAACCCAAATATCGTCGTCGGCCGGTGAACCGACCAGCTCACCGGGTCCCCGATCCCCAGCCCATTCCTCGCATTAATCCCCTCCGCCAGAACATCCTCGAGGTCGTAGTAGAAGTTGGGCGCCTCGAGCCTCGGCATCTCCTCGCGAAACGGAGGCTCGTGCGCCCTAAATTTCCACCGCAAGTTCAAGAGCCGTGACTACGTTTCTGCACCGTCGCAACACAACGTGCTGGCAGATTCTCGCGCGGGCAAAACTGCGTCGAGAACTGGCTCAGCATCGGCCGGAGTTCGCACGCGCGGTTCGACTCCCTCGTCGCCGCGGTCTGTCCAGCGCCGGGGGTAGAAGAGGTGGTGATGCCCTCCGCGATGGGGAGAGGCACGTCAAGGGTCATGGGCCCACGTCGGAGGAGGAGTCGCACGTCAGTGATCGAAGGACCGAAGGTGGGGGTCCGGAGGGAGGGGGTTGGGGGGGCGGCAGAACGCGTAGAGCCTTCCAGGGGGCCGCCGGGGTGCGGAGAGGGAGGATGTCGCGAGGGAGCTGGCCGACGATGGCCCGTGCCTCCGTACGAGGCCCGGATCGCTCTGGAACTTGGGGCGGAGTTAGGGCGGGCCTCGTCGGACCTTTTGCGTGGCCGGCCGCCGGGACTGGCTCCGCGCCCACCACCAGCCGATTGTTTTTTTTATGGGAAGGTTTTTGACGAATGGGAGGAGAGGCTTCGGTTGCTCTGAAGTTTTGGGTGGCGTTTTCGTTTGATTTTATGGGGAGGAAGTTCGTTTGTTTATTTGTTACGATTTATAGGGAGAAAGTATTTAAGGCGACGGGATAAACAGGATACGTGTAATCTCTATCCAACTTTACAAGAATCTGTAGAAGAGACCCCGGTATTTAAGTTGATTTGCACGTCTTTGATGGGTTATTTGCAATAAAATACCCTAAAGTTTACATCATTTACAATTTAATACCCCAAATTTTTTTTTGGCAGAAAATACCCTGTTGCGCAGAAACATTGGAGCTTTTACTATCTTGAAATGACTTATCGTGAGCATCAGGGTTAACTTTTTTAAAGGGATATCTTCTTGAAAGGATGTTTTTGGTAAGGAAAATTTTAGGGTATCAAAGGTAAAAAATTATGTAAACTTTACTATTTTTAAGTGCAAATAACGTGCCAAATTGTAGTTTTCTTGTGAGATATTCTAATAATATGCTTCCATTTTAAACCTCTTGCATCAGTTCATTTAATGTAAAGCTTAGAGTAATAGTTGAATTAATAAGATCTTTATCATAACATCAGAATAAAATGGCATCGCATAATCTTGTATGTGGAATCCGCTCAAATGGCTTCCACCCGTTAGATACGGATATTCAGTGCAAAATATTTTAGGAATAGGCGTTTCCTGCAATTTACCACATAAAAGATTAAATGTCACGTTGATATGTACAGGGACAATAATGAAATGATGAGCATTGTTTTTGTTGGCCGGCTGTAAGGACACGTTTCTAGTGTTTGCTAGCGAGACGAACATTTACGTTCTGTAACCAAAAGGTGCTAGGGGCCCCTTTACAGGGATCAGATTTAGATTCTCTCTATTTAACATTTAAAAAGAGAGGATCTAATTAGTCTGATACTTACCGTGAATTCTGATTTCTTGAATGAAAATAAGCCCGGTAAGATTTATATTATTGTCTTAAAAACCACGGTTGTGAAATCCCACTGTCGCAATAGTGAAAATCTCATGTAGCCTAATCTCATTCCTTGAAATTAGAATGATTGGTGATGATTGGCCATTGGGAGATATGCTGGGGGAAGCTTGGCGGGAAGGATGCTGACTATGTTGTGCGCGGCGGAAATCAAAACCAAACCGATGTGCTTCGAGGAACCAAACCAAACGTCGAGATAAAGGCCAATCAAATCAAAATAACAGCACAAAACACAAACAACCGATTTTAACGTGGTTCGGAAAGTTGCCTACGTCCACGGGGCAAGAAGGGGATGAGGTTTTCACTAATAGAGAAGAAGAGTACAAATTGATATTACAAATCACTCAAACCAATCAACTAATCTCACCAACAAATCTTTAGTTCTCTCCAAACAAAACCCTAACTAATAGCTCAGAAAATACCTCTTTTCTGTGCTCCAAATATCCCCACAACAAGCCTACCAAATCCTCAAAATCATGTTCCTATTTATATCAAAACAGAAACCCAAACAGAACAGGAAAATCCAAACTGGGCCTGACCCGAACGGTCGACCGCAGAGACACGTGCGGTCGACTGAAACCAACGACAGAAACCAATAATCACTATAGGATTTTGCCGGTCGACCGGACCTGAACTGAAACCAACGACAGAAACCAATAATCACTATAGGATTTTGCCGGTCGACCGGACCTGACGCTAAGGTCGACCGTCAAAAGCCCAAAGACTTTTCCCTGTGTTGTGCACGTTCGCGGTCGACCGTCGCGCCACTCACGGTCGACCGTGAAGCTTCCAAAATGTTTCTGCTTCCCAAAACATGTTCATCTTTGAACCCTTTTGTTAAACCCTAGAGGGGGGGTAATTAGGGTCTTATGCTAATCTAATCTGATTATATATCAAATAAAACTTATTAACAAATATATTCTTGCAAGATAGATATACAACTAATTATGAGCAAGAATATGCAAAATGAACAAAGGAATATATTCTAGCAATGAGATATACTATGAGATATATATGCAAGGATATGAGACTAACACAAGGGTAAACAATTTGAAACTAGATAGTGGGCAAACTAAATAATGAGACAATGGCGATATGAGCAATAAGCACAAATAAGAATAAACGCCAAAACACAGTCAAACACAATCAAATGATCACGGAGTTCGGACCTTCCGTCCTACGTCTCCGCTCCCCACTCCCGGGGAGAAATCCACTATCACAACCGGATTTTCTACGTTCACCCGAATAACGTTTACACCTCACACTCGGTTTTCTAGCTAACCGAAAACTTTACAATCAACACTCTTGTAACCCCACTCTACACTCTCTCAAGTGTTGGACCTAGACGTGTCTCCCTCAAGTGCTCGGATACAACCTCTCCCTAAGTTCGTCAACCGATGTCACTCCTCTTGGGACGATCCCCGACTCACACCACACACTTCTCTCGGTGTATAAGTGTATTACAAGGTGAACCTCACAATAAGCACAATACAACAAATGATTGTTCTCTAATATGGATGAGAACACAATGAAAGCTCACACTCAATTGTTACAACTCTCACCAACTCAAATATACTATGTATGAAAATACGATAAGCTTATATGGGTGTGTGTAATAATGAGAATAAATAAAATCTAACTCAAGAAGAACTAGCAATAAAATTGATATGAAATACAATAATAAAAATGCTAGGAAATTGAGTTAAGGAAACTTCTCTATAAACACAAAGAGTGGATGATGAGATATTGAAGATGAACTCCTCAACAATTGATGTAAGCTCCTCTTTGTAAAAGCAAACCCCAAACTTAAAACAAACTAAACAAACTTAAACTCTTTTAAAACTTCTTTAAAACATTCTCTTAGTTCTACATGAAAGATGAGAGCAAGGGGATATATATAGCCGCCCAAAGTCTCAGCCAAAAACCCAACAGAAAAGACCAAAAAGCCCTCAGACAATCTCACCTGGAACTAGCCGTTAGAGACTGAATGGCAGTTCGGCAGTCGACCGTGGAAAACTCGCGGTCGACCGCGAGCAGCAAAAAGGCCAGGGTTTGGCTCTGGACAACAGACGGTCGACCGCAAGGGAGCCTCTGAAAACTATCTTGAGTCTCTGGACTCAAGGGAGGTCGACCGTCGCGGTCGACCGCAAACAGACACATGAATTGACAGGTTTGAAAACTGTTTCCTAATTTTAAAACCCTGTTAAAAAATATCAAACAAATTCTAAAAAATATAAAACTTTAGGAAATGATTGTAGACATGATAATACACATGCTACAAATACTGGTTTTCAAAAAGGACCTCTCAAATAAAAAATATCATTATTTTACAAAATAGTCCAAAACATGAAAATGTGAATATATGAGTTTTGACATTTTTAGCTTAACCATATTTTGAAACAATAAAAAATGATTTTATAGACTTGAAGACAGATGTAAACTATTGTTATGAAGTCTATAAATAATAAATATAGTATTTTATCAAAATACACATATAATGCACTAAAACATGATTTCATTGAACTAAATAAAATTGATATAAATGAAATCATATATATGCATATAAGTATGAAACAATAAATATATTTTCAATTGTATTCAATTGTTTCATAGTAAAACTTGAAAACTATTAAACCAAAATATATATGTATATATATATAACTATATATATACGAAACCAAAGCGTGTATGTGTGTATATGATTGAGCTTAAAGTACTAACACACATAATATAAAACCTAAAACTAAATTTACCCAAGCTTGTGATCTTCAACGAAGCTCTATCTTGGTACACTTGCGGATGAAGGTTGAACTTGCATCTTTAACTTTGAATTGCGTAGGCTTCACTCCATAATTCCGCCAACCTCCATTGGATATGATCGTGAATGCGCAATTTCATCCATCCTCCAACTTATTTTTTGTCTACAATGAATACAAGACGCAAATACTAGACAAATAATATTAGATATAAATTGTTTGTTAAACATCATCATAACAAAGAGGCCAACACCTTCGCCAAATCTATAATTCTCCACCTCGGCGAAGTTTTCCTAAAACTGAGCCAACACCAACAAAACAATGCGAAACAAACGAAGAATAGATCCAAACTGAAAAGAGAGATTTTTACCTCCAACTGAAACCCTAATACTGGCCTCCAAAAGATCTCACCCCACACGACGGAAATAAGATCCATAAATAGGAAAAATCCCACCTTTATCACCAACTGAAGCCCTGGACAAACTTCCAAAGCGATCTACTCCTCCGATTAGCCCAAGTGTAGCCCAAGTTCTGATATCACTTGTTGTGCGCGGCGGAAGCCAAAACCAAACCGATGTGCTTCGAGGAACCAAACCAAATGCTGATAAAGGCCAACCAAATCAAAATAACAGTACAAAACATAAACAACCAATTTTAATGTGGTTCGTCAAGTTGCCTACGTCCACGAGGTAAGAAGGGGATGATGTTTTCACTAATAGAGAAGAAGAGTACAAACTAAGATTACAAATCACTCAAACCAACCAACTAATCTCACCAACAAATCTCTAATTTTCTCTAAATAAAGCCCTAACTAATAGCTCAGAAAATACATCTTTTCTGTGCTCCAAATATCCCCACAACAAGCCTACCAAACCCTCAAAATCGTATAGATCTGGAATTCGAACTTCGGTTCTAGTAGTCTAACGAGCATCAGAAGCTTCGGCAATCTCGTTCTGATCATCAACGGGAGGCAATCTCGACTCAAGCATCAAGAGAAGCATCATTTCGCCACCAAGAGCCCACGTTAAACAAAGAGAAATTGAAATAATCTTCTCTTCCTCTGTAATCGAGAGAGTGTGAGTGATTGTAAGGGATTCGTACTAAGTGATCGAACCCAGTTTTCTTAAAACAAGAAATCAATCAATCATACATTTTTTTAACCCTACAGAAGATGGCGACCCTAGTGGGAGAAGCCATTCTCTTATGAGACTTCAACCCACATGACTTTTGATAATTCAACTCGAGTCAGTCTCGAGGAGAAACCTTTGCCTCTAAATAATGAGGCTTTGAAAACTAGACATCGGGCTAAGAGGTGGGTTGTCAAGCAACCTCGCCAAACTTTGGTTGCTTCTACGGAGCAACCTAGCCAGAAATTGGCTGTTGTAAAACCTGCTGCCAATTCGTTCTCAAAACGAGCAAGATAGCGTCGACGTCAGAAACAGGCTCGCCGCAAGGCTCAAGCCCTAGTCTTGTCTTGACGGTTTTCACTATCGGCCACGAGACAACATGTCTAAGGCCCACAAGACTACTGAGGGTTAATTAGCTGAGGAACGTTAGAATGACGAACTTCACCCTTATACCCAATTAGGTTCGAATAACGAGCTTCAACAAGTTTGCTCTGTTAGGAAAAATAGCCAAATCCAGGCTCGTCAGGAGGACAAACCCCGCTCGAATGATGAACCTCGTCTTCAATATTAAGAGCTAGGCACCCAACCTCAGGGTTATCATTTTGTCGAAAAGACCCAGACGTCCACACTAAGTCCTAGGTACCTAACCTCAGGGTTGTCATTTGCCAAAAAGACCTAAGCGTCCTTAATAAGCCCTAGGCACTTTAACTTGCAGGTCTTCTTCGACAAAAAAGACCCGAAAATCTCACTAACAAAAGGCGTAAAATGAGTCAGTCGTCCCGACCACTCAACACTCGGTTTGTCACAACACGATCGACTCAAAACAAACAACATTTGTTCTCTCAATCAGAACACAGCTACAAGCTAACAGAGCAAAAACAAGGAATAATTGAAGGCAGATTCCAGAATAAGAGTTGCTCTCATTTCACTCGGACCCGGCCCAAGTCGACTCCAAGCGAAAGGGGCCAACTGTTATGGTGTTTTCAATCGCCAAAATACAACCCCTTTCTAGCAACTGATAGGTGTGCTTTTGCATGCAATGCCCTAATCAAATTAATGGCCAAGACCAGCAAGGATTCTAACTTAGCTGACTCGTCGAGTATACATCTTCTCGTGCTGACTCGAAGGGCAGTACTTGTTGGTCCTCTTGTCGAAGACGACCCACCACGAGCCTACTCGACCAGTTATTCAACACCTAGCGAGGTCGACTCGAGTCTCTCCCACTGACAATGTGTCAGCATCGCATTTAATGCTTGGAAGACATCATCATGCCTCTAGCTCCAATAGTCTTCATGAATCATCGGACCACGTCGGCACCACCATGCCCCTAATCACTTCTCATTTAATGCTGAGGTGATCTCTCCATCGAGCGACACCTGTAAAGTAGGTACTGACGTAGCTGCCAACCCATACTTTTTTACCGCCATCCTATGCTCGGTCACTGTGACTATTCTACCCTTATACCATCAGTATAAATTGAGGTACTATTCTAACCTAGAGGGGATTATTCTAACCTAGAGGGGATTCTAATTCTTTTCAGGATCTGAGATCTTGATGGGTAACCAAACAGTCAAATATTTCGGGATGAGATCGATGAGGAGCCGTTCACTTCTCCGAATATATGGTTTTGAGTTGAGTAGCTTTCAGCCCGCACAAGAAAAAATTTGTGAGAGAACAGGGCTTGGTTCCCCCGTTGTACCTCCAACGATCAAGTCAGTTGGTAAACTTAAGTGGGGAAATGAAGAACTGTGTGAGTTCTTGTGTGTCGTACAATATAATTTATAGATATTGCTTAAAAAATCAGATCAGAGATCCAGAAAAGAATCTCCAAAAAAGAAGATCAACAGACATGTGTACTTCTGCATGCAATGCCCCAATCAAATTAGCAGCCAAAGACCAGCAAGGATCCCGACATGGCCAACTTGTCGAGTCGACAGATTCTCGTGTCGAGTCGAAGAGTGGTACTTGTCAGTCCTCTTGTCGAAGACGACTCGCCATGAGCCTACTCGATCAGTTATTCGACACCTCGCGAGGTCGACTCAAAATGCGTTACTTCTCGGCCAAGCTAAAGGACTTCAACCTCGAGCCTCTCCCGCTGACAACGTGTTAGCATCGTATTTAATGCTTGGCAGGTATCATCATGTCTCTAGCCCCGATAGTCTTCATGACTCATCGGACCATGTCAGCACCGCTATGCCCCCGATCACTTCTCATTTAATGCTGAGGTGATCTCTCCGCCACTCGCCGAGCGACACCTGTAAAGTAGGTATTGACGCAGCCTCCAACCCATACTTCTTTACCGCCATCCTGTGCTCGACCACAGTGACCATTCTACCCTTATACCATCAGTATAAATAGAGGTACTATTCTAACCTAGAGGGGATTCTGATTCTTTTCATGATCTGAAATCTTCTTCTTGATCTTCTTTTCTGGAGATTCTTTTCTGGATCTCTGATCTAATTTTTTAAGCAATATCTGCAAATTATACTGCACGATTTTCAAATTGTGAAGGCTGAAAGCTACTCAACTCAGATCTGTTCGGAGAAGTGAGCGGCCCCTCATCAATCTCATCCCGAAATATTTGACTGTTTGGTTACCCATCATCAACAAAAATCATATAGGGAGTGGATCACAACAAGTCTACTCCGACAAATTTTAAAGTTGATGATTGCAGTAGTCAAATTGTAATACAATATTGCTGTTTCAATTCATGAAAATGAAGGATATTACTAGTCTTTTAGCAATTCTTAGTTTTATCTTACTAAGAGTTGCTAAAACCCTCCCAACTTATTTATTAGCACTTGGTGGCTGGTCACCCTCAGGTCATCAGAAAAATGGATGTTACTTACAATCTATCTTTTCAAAAATATATTATATGAAGGATGCTAAGTGTTAACAACTAAGTTTGAGCGTAATTAAGTGCTAATGGTATAAATGAGGTTTGGAGGACAATAAAATACCATGGAAATCCTTGGTTAATTTTTGTTGTAGGGCCCCCTATATGATTTTAGTTTTTCCGCATTTTCAGCCATCTTTTGGCATCACCTGGCGATGCTGACCGTTGGAGTTGAGAGAACCGTACATGAATGAGCCGAAATCATTGATTTTTGAAAAGCCACGGAAACTAGCGAGCGTACAGCTAGACTGTGGTCGGCAACGTGGCAAAGTCGAGATGCGATTCGTTGCTACTCTTTTGTTTTCAGTGGCTAAATGGCACTTAAATACCTTAATCTTTCACTATATTTACACTTAAATACCTTAAATTATAAAAAATAATACATTGCTAACTTCTGTTAAATAGATAATAGAACAATTTTAAGAATATTCTCATATACATAGTATTCAAAAAGTCTATTATTATATTGCCCCTATTTATTTGCTTTAATTACTATTTTATCTATTCCTTTAATTTATTACTAATAATTTAATGGATGGCATTTTCATAAAAAACTAACAGCCTTAGCTTAATTTTAACTGTGGACAGCTTGAGAGTATTTTTTTCTACTTTTTTACAACTTATGACATTTAACTGTGGATAAGTTTGATCCCAGATTAATAAAGAAAATGGAGAGGCGAGAGGCGAGAGGCGAGAGGCGAGAGCGAACACGAAGACCAATGACGGGAATAACTTTAGGATCTGCAGCGGCCAGGTATGTCCTCCTTCCCAACGTGGTGTTCTCGCATCTTCTCCTCATCGTCAGGTGGTGCACGATTCTCAAAGAGATATGTCATTTCAAAAGCCTTTAAGAGTCAATCTGTGTTGCCCGAGGCGACATCTAAGTTTCAGCATAAAACTTTTTCCTTCGAGCGTCCCTTCAACTTCTTGTTCTCATCTAATCTGCCACCAAAAGAGCCTCCTTTTTTCTCTTCTTCCCTTGATTTTCATAAGAGCATTCGAGGTCTTCCTCCAGCCAAGAACTTAGATCAAGGGTGGACCATTGTTTCAAGGAAGAAGAAATCTCGCAAGATGAATAGTGAGTATCTCAAATACCCTTATCCCTCTGATTATATGGACCCAAAGCAACCCCGATGTTGTTTCAATTGCGGTGATTCTCGTCATTCTATCAAGTTCTGCCCCAAAGGAACTTTTTTATGCTTTAAATGCAAGGAAGAAGGCCATGTTGCCAAGTTCTGTAGGTCTCATCTTCGCCCTCAGGAGAAGCAGGTAGATTTATCGGATTCTACCACGTTGTGCAACAATGCTAAAGTTTTAGCTTCGTTTGCCATTTTATCTATTTCTGAAGGATCGCCTTCCTTGGAACTGCTTAAGGTTAGATTGAGTCTTCTTTTTCAGTGGAAGGAATGGAGAGGGAAAGTCATGCCTATTAAAGACAAAACTTATCTGGTTGAATTTCCATCTCCTTTTCAAATGTCTGATGCTATTGAAAAGCATGTTTTTGATTTTGGTCATTTCAAAGGGTGGTTTGCTCCATGGTCTGAAAATATTGGGATGAAGATCATAGATTCTGCATTTTATCAGTGGACCAAGATCAATAACTTGCCTCTTCATTTCTGGTTTGCGGATATTTTACAGCAAATTATCGCTTCATTTGGTGAATTAGTGAGGGTTTGCAAAAACATTAAGGATAAGATAAATGGCCAGGATGTTCGTGTCCTGGTTAAGGTTAAAAGCTCTGAATGCATTCCACAGTCTGTCACTTGTCCATATATCTCTCAAATTGATTCTTTTAATAGAGAAGTAAAGATCAATATCACCCCGATTGGAGTAGGCCAATTGGGTTCTGAATTTATTGGTAGGCATCTAAATGCTATGGAAGCTCAAGGCGATGCTGTTTTAGAGACTCAATGGGCAGAACAGATTTTGGCAGCGCCGGAGACAATTTTCGGCCATCTCAATCTAGCGAACGTAGACAGCATAAAGGGTAAGGAAGTTATTGATCAGAATTTGAATTTCCCTCAGATTGTGGAACTTCCTAAAGATCCTCCTCCACCAAAGGAAACTTTTCAAAATGAAATTTTAGCTGATATGGTGGAGGATAAGAAGGCGGATTATGAGAAAGAGAACAAAGATACCAATTCAAATCAAATGCCAGATTCTCTCCAGGATTTTCCGTTTGATTTGGTTAAACAAAATTGGAAGGGTCACATGGTTTATATTGAGAGGTCTGCTTGGGAATCTTATATTGGAGGGAAAGCCGATTCTTTAAATTCAAATTCTGCCACATCAATGGTGCCAAATACAGCTCAGACTCCAGCTATTCAATCAACAGGATCGGTTCCTCCAGGTTTTTCTCGTCGGCCTGCAACAGGTCTCTCCTCCAAGACTGCCAGAAAGCAACCTTTGAGCTCCAAGCATAATCTTTTTATCAGGCAATCCTTAGCTGCTAGGAAGAAGATCCGTGTGAGCAAAAAAGGTACTTCTTTACTTTCCTCTGCTTCCTCTTCAGCTCTACCCATTAATTCTTTAGCTAAGGATGTCATTGAGAACATAGCTACCAACTGTGGTCTAGTTCTATCTGAACATTCTATAGATTCTCTTAAAGCTAAAGAAAGGGAAATTGGTCTTAGCTCTTAAGGGTGGGTCTAGTGGATAGTCGTTTGTTGGTTTTCAATCTTTTTCCATATGAAGCTGTCTACTTGGAATGTGCGTGGTTTAAATGACCCTCTTAAGAGGCGTCTGGTGAAAGATTTCTTAGTTCGTTCTGCTATAGATGTCGTCGGCCTTCAAGAAAGCAATCTATCAAAACCTTCGGAGAGAAAATTACAGTCGATAGGAGGTAAAAGGCTTATTCACTGGTGTTGCCTTGATTCTTTGGACTCTAGAGGTGGAGTTCTAGTGGGCTGGTCTGATTCTTTCTCCTTAATCAAATCCTATGTTGGGATCTTCTCTGTTACAGTTTTTCTTCTTCATAAACAATCAAAATGGGGTTTCTCTTTTACATCAGTTTATGCCCCAAATGAGAGGGAAGATAGAGAAGTTTGTTGGTGGGAGCTAAATCGGGTAAGATCATCTTTCAATGGTCCATGGGTGCTATGTGGTGATTTCAATGTTACCTTACATGCTGATGAGAGAAATGGTGGAATGAGTTCATATAGAGATATTAACTCCTTCAGAGATCTCATTGACAGTTTAGCTCTTTTTGATCTTCCCCTATCAGGTAGATCCTATACTTGGTCAAATAAGCGTTTATCTCCTTCTTTAGCAAGACTGGACAAGTTTCTTGTTAGCTCTGAATGGGATAAAAATTTTCCATCAACCCTTTAATTTTCTCCTCCTGCTTTGGGCTCAGATCATTCCCCTATTGTTCTAGACAGTTCAGGTCTCCATCCTGTCCCTCCTACCTTTAGATTCGAAAGAAGTTGGTTGCAGAATCCTGACTTCATTCCTTATATTACAAGCTGCTGGAATTCTTTCCGTTGTCAAGCAAGTCCTGTTGATGTTTTCATTTCCAAACTCAATCTTACCAAAAGAAGAATTAAGTGGTGGAAAAAGAATTGTCTTGGTTCAATTGCTTCTAGGAAAGATGAGCTTCTATCTAAAATCAACTCATTTGATCTGTTGGAGGAACAAAGGCCTCTAACAGAGACAGAATTCCATGATAGGAAGTCTCTCCAATCCTCCTTCTCTTCTATTCTTCAAGAAGAAGAAATTTATTGGCATCAGAGATCTAGAATCCAATGGTTAAAGGAGGGAGATGCTAATACGGCTTTTTTCCATAAGACTGCTACTTTTCATAGGAATGCAAACTTCATTACATCCATAAATCATCAAGGAAAAGAACTGTCAAATGAAAAAGATATCTCTAATGCTTTTTGTGAATACTTCTTATCAATTTTTGGTAGGGATTCTAATCCAAGCATTAGTATGAATTGGTCTCAGCTATATCCTCATGAAGATTTAAATCTTACCTCCTTAGAAGATATTTTTTCAGAAGATGATATCAAAAAGGCAGTTTTTGGTATGAACGCCAACAAAGCTCCAGGCCCTGATGGCTTTTCTATGGCATTTTACCAGACTTTTTGGGATGTTATCAAATCTGATTTGATTAAATTGATGACTTTTCTCCAACTCAATCCATTTAGCTTATGTAGGATGAACAAAGTCTTCATCACCCTTATTCCAAAAATCAAAGACAGTGTACTTGTTAAGTATTTCAGACCAATCAGTCTAATACACTGCATTTTTAAAAAAATTTCTAAGGCGGTTGCTAACAGATTGGCTCCTTTTCTTCCTAATTTGGTTTCTTCTACCCAATCAGCCTTTCAGTCAGGGAAATCAACACTTGATTCTATTGTCATGGCTAATGAGATGATTCACTTCTGTTCTAAGAGGAAGAATGAAGTTGCTATGCTAAAGCTTGATTTTACC